GGGTACATCCGGCAGGAAGGTTGGGAATCGCTGATCTAATCAAAGTCTTTATAAGCATCCTCATAGCTTACATCATAGTTTGTTTTCTTGACCACATAACACATAATAATTTAGTTAAGTTTCAATTTTGTTTTATCCTTTTTAAAGACTTACTGAACTACAACTGTCTGTTAATTAAATATTAGTAACCTTAATAAAAAAAAATATGTAAAGTATAAAAGTCAGCTCTGCTGAGTCAGTTCTTAACAGGGAAATGTGATTTAGGTCTAAGCTCTTTACGAAAACAAATAAAATGCTAAAGTCTTCTTTATGAGCACCGGATCAAAGATCAGGATGAAAAATAAAAGTATGACATTCATTTGTTATTAGCTTAAAAATATATAAAACATATTTTCACAGTCAGTCATTCATTTAAACATTATTTTGTGTTCTTAATTCTTTTTTTTTTTTTTTTACTTCACTTTAACTAAACTCACCTTTTACCTTTGCTGGTATCTGAATCACAACAACAACAAACATTAACTAGTTTGTATTAGTTTATGTACGACTAAATAGTTCTTCCTGTTATATTCAGGGCGCAGAACTGTTGGCATGAAAAATATCGTGTAGGTGAACCTGCTACTGACATAATCAGTGTTCAGGTATTTGCAATGTGTCAAATATGCTCACAACCTTTTCCTGTGATAGATCCCATTCCAAATCATAGATCCCATTCCAAATCATAGATCCCATTCCAAATCATAGATCCCATTCCAAATCAAGTCCCAGTTGGATTTACTTCAGAACATTGTTTCTGTTCCAGCTTTTCCAGCAGGAGTTTAATAGACAAAGTGGGCATTTTCAAATCTTATGCTTAAGATACATACAAGTTACAGGTGCACATAAGTCAAATCTGAATTTTTTTTGGTTAAAATATGTCTTTGTAAACTTCAAACTATCAGCAACAACATCAGTAATTACTGATTGGTATTGTCATATTGTTTTTCTCTTATTTAAACTGGCATGTGAAATCAGTCATCTAGAACAATCCTAATTATGATGCAGTTTAAAGCTGCACTTTTGCAGAAAGGCATTAAACACTTAATAATAACCAGCAATGTTTCTAAAATATGACAATGAAATTTAGAATTACAGAAATATTCTAAATGTAGAATTTTCCCTTTTCCCTTTTTTGTATGTATGTGTGTTTCAGCTGGAAGGGAAGGTCCAGCAGGGCGAGAGAGATTTTGAGCAGATTTCCAAAACCATCCGCAAAGAAGTCAGCAGGTTTGAGGTGCGTGGGTGAATGTGACTATGAGTCGGTGAACTGTTAAATGATGAAATGAGGTGGGCAAATAAATATACTTTTTATGTCATTTTCTAACAGAAAGAGAGAGTGAAGGACTTTAAAACAATCATTATCAAATACCTGGAGTCTCTGGTTCAGACACAACAGCAGGTAAACAAAACTGTTAGTGACATTTTTCATCATAGCTAAAATACTCTCGAAACGCTAAACTTTAAATTAAAAAAAAACTTTTGTGTTAAACTTTTCATTTTCATTTTCATTGATATGAAAATTAAAAAATGTTTCATTTTCATTTGAGCAAAATACATATTTTTTGTGTAAAAACTGTCTGAAAATTGCACTTTTTCAGAAAAAGTAATTACATATTTAGAATATGAGATAAAATAAATTACATATCTGAGGACTGATGTCAAGCTATAAATTTTGGTGCCTTTTATTTGACAAAAAAAGATTAAAAACATGGATTCTAATTTAGAATATAAGTAGTTATATACTTTATACAAATATTTAGCACTTGTCTCCCTTTTAATTGTTATTTTGGGAACAGTTATGCAGTTAAAAGTAAGGAAATTACAACCCCAAAACCAAAACAACAAAACTGGCACCTACAGGCTTCCATATAGTGTGGATGGAACGAACAAGTTTTCCATAAAAATGAAAGAAAATGCACGTTTGTCTCCTAACTGAATATTTCTTCACTTTT